CCCCCCACAAAGACACCCTCACAGCTCCCCCCCTCCCATATAACTATCAACAAACCGCGACAAAAAGCTCCCATTTACCACCTCTCTAAAACACATCAAAGCCCATACGATAATTACCCTTTAAACGATCCTCAATTAAAAGAAAATGAGACGAAAAATAAAAAGTTGAGACTAAAAGTTAAAAAAATATATCCATCTCACGCCATCATAAAAATTGTATGGTGGCGCCTCTCACATTGGTCATTCTTGTTGGGTAGCGTCGATGGTGGATATTCAGGTCGGGTGTGTGGTGGTGGGTGGGTGTGTGATGGTGGGTGGGTGTGTGGTGGGAGGTATGTGTGTGTTGGGAGAGTGTAGGGGTGGGTGGGTGTGTGGTGGTGGGTGGTGGGTGGGTGGGTGTGGTGGTGGTGGTGGTGGGTGTGGTGGTGGGTGGTGTGTGGTGGTGGTGGGTGTAGTGGTGGTGGTGGGTGGTGGTGGGTGTGTGGTGGTGGGTGGTGGTGGGAGGGTGTGTGTGTGGTGTGGTGGTGGTGGTGGTGGGTGGGTGGTGGGTGGGTGGGTGGGTGGTGGGTGGGTGTGGGTGTGTGTGGTGGTGGGTGGGTGGGTGGTGTGGTGGGTGGGTGGTGGGTGTGTGGTGGTGGGTGGGTGGGTGGGTGGGGGTGGGGTGGGTGTGTGGTGGGGTGTGGTGGGTGTGGTGGGTGGGTGGGTGGGTGGTGGTGGGTGGGTGTGGTGGTGGTGGTGGGTGGGTGGTGGTGGTGGGTGGGTGTGGTGGTGGGTGTGGTGGTGGAGGGTGGGTGTGGTGGTGGAGGGTGTGGTGGTGGAGGGGGTGGTGGTGGTGGTAGGTGTGTGTAGGTGGTGTGGTGTAACTCTGGCTTGGACCTCCAAGTATTCATGCTCTGTGCTGCGGCTTATAACTTTCCTGCCCCCTTACACCACATTTCTCTCTTAAAGGTCACCTCCAGGCTCAATTCTCCAGCGTTATTGTAGACAATCATTAATGGATAATCAATATTTTTTAAGCAAAGTTTTAAGGTGAAAAAGGGTGAAAAGACCCCGTTGGCCCGTGAGAGGAGGGAGGGAGGGAGGGAGGGAGGGAGGAGGGAGGGAGGATGGGAGGGGAGGGAGGGAGGGGAGGGAGGGAGGGAGGGAGGGGGAGGGAGGGAGGAGGAGATGGAGAAGGAGGAGAGAAGACTAGTGTAGGGGAGGGAAGAGGAGGAAGGAGGGAAAGAAGGGTAGTGTAGGAGAGAGAGAGAGAGAGAGAGAGAGAGAGAGAGAGAGAGAGAGAGAGAGAGAGAATGGTCTAGGCCGGGGGAGAGATATAAGCCTGATCAGTATTCCTAAACACCTTCAGACACTAATAGACTGGATCCAGTAGGTACCTGTTAGCAGCTGGGTGAACCAAGAGGTACCCCGGACGAACCAGTGATTCTTAGGGTGTAGAGGAGCCTGTATCCACTCGTATCACCACATCCCTCAGTGTTGGGGAGGATCTACAACACTGGCGATATATACTCACACCTGTCTCTACACATCTGCCATTATCACTACCTTCACTAATTGCCCCCTACCTGTTGTGTTTTTTCCACCTGCCTGTAGATATATATATTTTTTTTTCATAATACGAGATAAGACAAGAAATGGCACCATTACCACCACCACACAACAACCATCACCACCACAATCCTCCCACGCTTCCACTCCCACACCCACACCCACCACCACTACCTTTTTGCAGAGAAGAGGAGGGAGGGAGGGGGGTGGGGTGGAAGAAAACGAGACAAAGGATGATAATGATAGGTTCAGAAAGTGAAGAAGTGTAGAAGGAGGTACAGTACAGTACAGCAGCCTTGTAACTCACCACCTTATGTACTGCACTGCTGGTTACTTTACGTGGTTTACAGCTGTTGGTCTAATTGGCTGTTGCCTATATTATTGGCACTAAGCACTACAAAGATCCATTAACACCCACCTCCACTATACATCACCATACATCACAATACACCCACTACACACCACCATCACCACGTACCAACCAAACATTAGTAATATGACAAAGACACCCGGGACTCATGCCAACACGGACCCTACAAGTCACTGCCATATGAACCTTAAAATCAACCTGACTGATGGACGACAACAGCCACAGATGACCCTCAGAAACAACACCAGGTAGACTGTAGGTAAAATCCGCTATCTTAGCTACGTCACCTCCTTCTTTGACTATGTTTATTTTTTCTCTCTACTTTATCTCTTTCTACTCTTTATCTCTCTACTATTTATCTCGATTTATTCCTCTCTACTTTCTAACTCTCTCTCTCTTTCTTCTCTCTCCGCCACTCACACTAATGCACACACACAAGTGGAGGTTGCATCACTAAATGAAAATTTAACATATATATCGCAAATATTGAACAAATCGGTGAATTACAAACATCAAACACAACTGTAATTCTAACGTATGAAAAAAATAGTTAATTACATCCCTTTAAGTCTATGAAGTTCCAAAATTACAGTATCAGTGCATGTAATTCTTGTACTCATTGTTGGTGTTATGGCCTCAGTAATACATTAACTTATTGCGGCTGTTATGTACTCAATATGAAAATTATTATTGCTGATATGGACTCAGTAATACATCCATTCATTGCTGCTGTTATGGACTCAGTAATACATCCATTCATTGCTGCTGTTATGGACTCAGTAATACATCCACTCATCCTGCTCATATGCATTACTGAGTACATAACAGCAATAATAATATTACTGAGTACATCCTTAACTAATAAATTAAGAATTATCTGTGTATAAGTGACCACAACAACACACTATCAACACATCCCTACAACACATCCCTGCAACACACCCCACCAACACACAACACCAGAACAACACACAACACACCCCAGCAACAACACACCCCCAACAACACACAACACACCCCAACAACACATCCCTACAACACATCCCTACAACACACAACACACCCCAACAACAACACATCCCTACAACACACAACACACCCCAACAACATCCCTACAACACATCCCTACAACACACAACACACCCAACAACACATCCCTACAACACACAACACACCCCAACAACACATCCCTACAACACATCCCTACAACACACAACACACCCCAACAACACATCCCTAACACATCCCACCAACACAATCCCCTCCATCACAACCATCCCCATAACAACAACCTTAATCACAACACACCTCTACGACACCAACCACAAAACTCCTCTAACCAACCCAACCCAACAACCCAACCCAACCCCAACCCAACCCACCCAAACCCAACCCAACCAAACCCAACAACAACCCATCCAACCCACCAAACCCAACAACCAAACCAAACCCCCAACCAAACAGCAACAGCAAACCAATAGAACCACAACCCCAACCAAACCCCAACAGCAAACCCCCAACAACCAAATCAACAAATCAACCCAACCCACCCAACAAGTGAGAGATATATTAAATAAACCAACATCACTCCTCTCCCTCCTTGTGCACCAACATGAACGCCTCATTAGAGCCCATCTTTACAGAGAGGCTCCACCACACGGGAGGGAAGGAAGCTATGTAAACAAAAATACAGAGAGGGACGCAGTTGATGGTATCTTCTGTAGCGTCACTAAGGGAGGATGACAGATGGCGTGTGGGTGTAAAATAATAATAATAATAAACGGTTTATTAATAGAGTAGTCAGCACCGAGCATGATTCTGTGTTGTGTGGGTTAATACGTGGGTGTGTGGGTTAATATGTGGGTGTGTGGGTTAGTATGTGGGTGTGTGGGTTGTATGTAAATAATAATAATAAACGGTTTATTAATAGAGTTGCAGCTGTTGGCTGAAAATATACAGACTTACATTTGATTTAGACATAATGATATAATATGCAATGAATATATTTACATGGCTGTACAGTACATAAATCAGGAGTTGTTTATTATTTTCACAATAGATGGGATGGTGCTGTTCTTATATCTATCAGTGCAGGCTCTTATGGGCTGAATTTTGTTGTAGTGGACTGACTGTGCGAGTTGGGTGGGGGGCTGCGTGGCAGGAGGTGGCAATGATGACGAGGTGGTGCATTAGTTGGCTGCCAAACCTTTCCAGTGCTTGGTGGTGGAGGTCCTGAGGATGGCATTTCCAGGGTGGAAGGCGTTGGTGTGGAGTAGTCAGCACCGAGCATGATTCTGTGTTGTGGAGGTTAACACGTGGTGTGTGGGTTATATGTGGGTGTGTGGGTTATGTCAGGTGTGTGGGTGTGGGTGTGTGGGTTAATGTGGTGTGGGTTGTGTGGTGTGTGGGTTAGTGTGGGTTAGTATGTGGGTTAGTATGTGGATGTGTGGGTTAGTATGTGGGATTGTGGGTTAATATGTGGGAGTGTGGGTTAGTATTTGGGTGTGTGGGTTAATATGTGGGTGTGTGGGTTAATGTGGGTGTGAGGGTTAATATGTGGGTGTGCAGGTTAATATGTGGGTGTGCGGGTTAATATGTGGGTGTGTGGGTTAATATGTGGGTATGTGGGTTAATATGTGGGTGTGTGGGTTGATATGGTGTGTGGGTTAATATGTGGGTGTGTGGGTTAATATGTGTGGGTGTGTGGGTTAATATGTGGGGATGTGGGTCAATATGTGGAGGTGTGTGGAGTATGGGTTAACATGTTGAGGGTGTGTGGGGAGTATGGGTCAACATGTGGAGGTGTGTGGGTATGGGTCAACATGTGGAGGTGTGTGGGGAGTATGGGTCAATGTGGGGGTGTGTGGGGTATGGGTCAACAGGTGGAGGTGTGTGGGGTATGGGTCAATGTGGGTGTGTGGGGTATGGGTCAACAGGTGGGGTGTGTGGGAGTATGGGTCAACATGTGGAGGTGTGTGGGAGTATGGTCAACATGTGGAGTATGGGTCAACAGGTGGAGGTGTGTGGGGAGTATGGGTCAACATGTGGAGGTGTGTGGGAGTATGGGTCAACATGTGGGAGTATGGGTCAACATGTGGGAGTATGGGTCAACATGTGGGAGTATGGGTCAACATGTGGGAGTATGGGTCAACAGGTGGAGGTGTGTGGGAGTATGGGTCAACATGTGGGAGTATGGGTTGAGGCGAGGCTGCAACAGGTGATATATAGAGTACCCTATGTAGTTGTTGCTCTAATAAGAACCTACAATAGAGTTCTGGAGGAGCTTACTTATATTATATTGCTCATTAAATAGAGTTCGTGACCGACCTTAGTGGGCATTAAATAGAGCTCTAAAGGAGCTTAATTATCAAAAGGAGCTTAATTTCTTTTAACTCACCGTGCACATGATAAACCTCGCTATAGTGGACACCTGGCTCTAGTGAGTCCGTAAACTATAAGGTGTTACATGATCAACCTCGTTACAGTGGACACCTGGCTATAGTGAGTCCGTAAACATAAGGTGTTACTTGATCAACCTCGCTACAGTGGACACCTGGCTATAGGACTCCGTAAACATAAGGTGTTACTTGATCAACCTCGCTACAGTGGACACCTGGCTCTAGGGGTCCGTAAACACTAAAAGGTGTTATGATCAACCTCGCTATAGTGGACACCTGGCACTAGGGGTCCGTAAACATAAGGTGTTACTTGTCAACCTCGCTATAGTGAACACCTGGCTCTAGGGGTTCGTAAACATAAGGTGTTACTTGATCAACCTCGCTACAGTGGACACCTGGCTCTAGGGGTCCGTAAACATAAGGTGTTACATGATCAAACAGACACGAAGACATATGGCGTGTGTGTGTGTGTGTGTGTTGTGTGTGTGTGTCTGTGTAACCTCTCCTGACCTCTCCTGGCCTCACAGCTCAACATATATGTCAACAAATCAGGTGTGCGTTCATTTACCAGGTCTTATATACGATCTGAGTCATGACAGGTTCTTCCTCGATGATGTCGGCGTAAAAATCTTCCATTAACATCAGATATAGCATTTAACTAGCTAACTAAGAAGCTTGCTAACTATTAACTAGCAAAATAACTAACAAACAAAAACTACTAACTTACTATCACACTAAATAACAAACAAACTAACTACAAACTAACTGGCACACTAAATAACAAACAAACTAACTACTCATAACAAACTACTAACAAACTAACTAACCAATTAATCCAGCAAGTTAACTAACTAATTAACGATACGACACAAAGATGGATTCACAAAGATTCCCACAGTAACGTCTCCCCACAATGCATCTCCTCACTTAAACTACTACATAAAGGTAAGTTTCTCATGGTCATATTTCCTCACTAGATAACAAAATTAAACATACATCTCGTCTTCATCTTTAATCAACGTAACAGATGAAAAAACCTCAACGCCGCAACAGCTTTGGTCATATGGAGGAAACTGCAGCGAGTCTATTGGCATATTGGTCCCATTTACACCCAACCCCTATCGCTCATATGTCCATCAATCTATATGTTTGAAGCTATCCAGCGTATTTCAGTTAATAGTGATGTTTGGTAACTTGTTCTTCTCGTCCACTACTCTGTTTCCAAACCAATGTTTACCTATTTCGCGCCTAAATCTAAATTTGTCTAATTTAAAACCATTGCTACGAGTTCGCTCCTGGTTGGATAGTTTGAGTACCTTTGTAATGTCCCCTTTGTTTAGCCTGACTTCCATTTATACACCTCTATCATATCGCCCTCACTCTACGTCTCTCGAGGAGTGCAGATTAAGATGGCGACGGAAATAATTTATGCTAAAATGTTAAACTTAAATTAAAATGACGGAAAAGAAAAACAGAACCGAAAAAAAAAGATGGAGTCTCAAAGGTTGTGAGATATAACAACACCGAGGTTTTACAGATCTAAGCCACGTATTATTTACTGCCTCATAGCTACGACACAACGAGATGCTCAGAAGGTCGTAGTTAATTTTATCGTTAATGGGAGATGTGATCCTGCATCTAACTGGCTCATTTACACAGCGGGACAAAGATTAGAGCTAGTATTACGGTGATAGTCCTCCAACATTCTCAGCTGGGTGGGGTGTTCCCAGTCCCGTCCTGGGGAAGTGAGGATTTTTGGGGATCATGTGAAGATTAGTCACCTAGGTTAAGTCGTCTGATGGTTGGAATATTCTAACTAACTAACCTAATGCTAACCTCGCTAATAATAACCTATTTTAACGCTAACCTAATGCTAACCTCGCCAGTAATAACCTAATTTAACGCTAACCTAATGCTAACCTCGCCAGTAATAACCTATTTAGCGCGAACTTAATGCTAACCTCGCCAGTAATAACCTAATTTAGCGCTAACTTGACCAAATTGCTAACCTAACCTCACGCTAAACTAACCTAACGCTAACCTTATCTAACCTAACCTAACCTAACCTCAGGAAGCACAATATCATTTTAACCACCAGGTGGATTAATTTGAGGTTGGTTAATCTTCAGGTGAACCCAATTAGTGTATAATAACATCAGAATCAAGTATGTATGAGTTTATACATTGAATAACAATATATATATACAGGTAATACTGATGTTGTTGTTATGAGGCAGTTGAATGGGTACAGGGCTCGCCTACCTGGACTCTGCCTAAACTCTAACTGACACTCTACGACAACTATCTAACATCTACCTAAACTCTACCTGGACTATCTAACATCTACCTAAACTCTACCTGGACTATCTAACATCTACCTAAACTCTATCTGGACTATCTAACATCTACCTGACACTCTACCTGGACTATCTAACATCTACCTAAACTCTACCTGACTATCTAACATCTACCTAAAACTCTACCTGGGCTATCACATCTACCTGACACTCTACCTGGACTATCTAACATCTACCTAAACTCTACCTGGACTATCTAACATCTACTGACACTCACCTGGACTATCTAACATCTACTAAACTCTACCTGGACTATCTAACATCTACCTAAACTCTACCTAGACTATCTAACATCTACCTAAACTCTACCTGGACTATCTAACATCTACCTAAACTCTACCTGGACTAATTAACATCTACCTGACACTCTACCTGGACTATCTAACATCTACCTGACACTCTACCTGGACTATCTAACATCTACTAAACTCTACCTGGACTATCTAACATCTACCTAAACTCTACCTGGACTATCTAACATCTACCTAAACTCTACCTGGACTATCTAACATCTACCTAAACTCTACCTGGACTATCTAACATCTACCTAAACTCTACCTGGACTATCTAACATCTACCTGACACTCTACCTGGACTATCTAACATCTACCTAAACTCTACCTGGACTATCTAACATCTACCTAAACTCTACCTGGACTATCTAACATCTACCTAAACTCTACCTGGACTATCTAACATCTACCTAAACTCTACCTGGACTATCTAACATCTACCTAAACTCTACCTGGACTATCTAACATCTACCTAAACTCTACCTGGACTATCTAACATCACTAAACTCTACCTAGACTATCTAACATCTACCTAAACTCTACCTGGACTATCTAACATCTACCTAAACTCTACCTGGACTATCCAACATCTAACTAAACTCTACCTGGACTATCTAACATCTACCTGACACTCTACCTGGACTATCTAACATCTACCTGACACTCTACCTGGACTATCTAACATCTACCTAAACTCTACCTGGGCTATCTAACATCTACCTAAACTCTACCTGGACTATCTAACATCTACTAAACTCTACCTGGACTATCTAACATCTACCTAAACTCTACCTGGACTATCTAACATCTACCTAAACTCTACCTGGATGTTACCTGGGGTTGGTTCGAGAGTTTACACTAACCATTATCGGGTGAGTGTGTCCAAGCCCCACAGTGGCTTAGGTAGACTCACAATGACTCAGGCAGACCCACAGTGGCTTACGTAGACTCACAATGACTCAGGCAGACCCACAGTGGCTTACATGTAGCTCACAGTGACTCAGGTAGACTCACAGTGACTCATTAGACTCACAGTGACTCAGGTAGACTCACAGTGACACGTAGACTCAGTGATTCAGGTAGACTCACAGTGACTTAGGTAGACTCAGTAACATAGTAGATTCAGTGACTCATGTAGACTCGCAGTGACTCGGGTAGACTCAGTAGCCAAGTAGATTCACAGTGACTCATGTAGACTTACAGCGACTCAGGTAGACTCAAAAGTGGCTTAGATACGCTCGAAGTGGCTTAAATAGACTCACGATGGCTTAGGTAGACTTAAAGTTGACTAGATAGACTCCCGGTGTCTACAAAAGCCGAGATCTGGCAAGTCAAAGTCTAGTTAACGACAGTCATCTCATCGTGGTAAACATTACAAGGCAAAATGTGAATGTTGAGGACGGTGACGCGGCAGGTGCTGGTGGGTGACGCGGCAGGTGCTGGTGGGTGACGCGGCAGGTGCTGGTGGGTGATAGCGTTAATGTTTATAGGTTCGTAATGTGGTGGTGGTGGTGGTGGTGGTGAGTGGTGTGGTAGTGGTGAGTGGTGGTGGTGGGGAGTGGTGTGAGTGGTGGTGAGTGGTGGTGGTGGTGGTGGTGGTGGTGGTGAGTGGTGGTGGTGGTGGTGGTGGGTGGTGGTGGTGAGTGGTGGTGGTGATAGTTGGTGGTGACTGTGATGGTTTTGGTGGTGGTGGTGGTTTTGGTGGTGGTGGCAAGGAGAGACGAGGGAGGGCAAGGAGACAGGGCAGGAGAGAAGAGGGTGAGACGGAGTAATACAGTTATGCTAAGTGTTATGTATCAGTGGTAAGGCAGCCACAAGTTCCCTCATACAGCGGTAACGTCTCCTCATCCATCTACATTTGAGGCACTTGTAAAACTCCTGCCAGCCACACAGGTGAACGACCATCACATTAAAGGCATAATTACCTGTTATGACGACACCTGTAAGACACACCTTAAGTTAACGAGGCCAAATTACCTAATAAATCTTTGGTAATTAACGTAAGAATATTAATCATAAAATATAGTAACGTTAAATATATTGAAAAACAAAATAGGATCGCATGAGGGTTAGGGTTTGGTTAGGTTAGGTTAGGTTAGCCATTAGATGAAATAAAATGAGGTCTCCTATTCTTGCTGATACCTAAAATATAACATCATATATAACTAACACAACTAAATAATTTTCAAGGTGAGAGCCGTTCAACATTCACAGGCGGCGCTCAGTGGGGTGGTGGAGGATGGGTGGGGGAGGAAGGGGTGATGGAGGGAGGGAGGGGTTGTGAAGGGAGACCTGGTGATAGGAGGAGGAGGGCAGTAGAGAGGGGGTGCTGGTGGCCACAAGTCCAACATATTTGACAGCGTCGCTGAGTTTTGCGTTCATTTCTGTATTTATGAGCCGCGATGGAAAATCCTTTGGGAGAATGTTTCAGGCAGAGTTGAACGTATTTAGGCGCGAGCGTTTAGCGGTAGTAACACATATTCCGCTATAAATCTACCTAGACAATAGTTAGCTGGGCTGAGCTGAGCTGAGCTGGGCTGGGCTGGGCTGGGCTGGGCTAGCTACACCACGGGGAAGATGCAGTGGTCAGGCCAGGGCTACGATGCTGATATCAATCACACACACACACACACACACAGAGAAGAGAGCCCCCCCCCACAGCATTCAGACACCGTTCACCCCCAAACCGGCACAATTAACGCCATCACAGCCCGGGTTGGTAATAATACCCAACATCTCATTAGTCTCACCAAGTTTCAAGAGTTACTACTAAAATTAAAGTAACTCTTCCAGACCTCATGCACTACTACTGTATACTAATAACCAAAGGATGGCTGAAGGAGTACATACTTATCATACTTAGAAAGACAACTGTAGTGTAACATTGTCTCTTAAGTGACTCCTTCAGTCCTCAAGGGTCTATGTTGATGTTATATTTTCACGACCTTAAAAAATCGAAAAACGTAATAAATTTGTTTTTGAAAATTTAATTAAAATTATAATCTGCAAAAATGTGTGATCTTTTCCCTAGAGGCTGATGACGACATGAGGGGAGGGGGAGGTGGAGAAAAGGAAGAGAGGAGGAAGGAAAGGGAGGAGGAGGAGGAGGAGGATGAAGAAGGAGACTACCACTTGTTACTACATTAAGAACAAACTCTATAATTTCAAGGTCCATTTGTGAAATAATAAAAACATTACCTAAATTAAATTACATCATTAAAATATTGTTACCAGATCATTGAAAATAATTAATTTAGCTTTTAAGATGATTTAAGCTAAACGAGTTACCTGGACGACAAGATAAGCTGGCCAGAGCAGTTACAGTCCACAGTCAACACAGTTAGGTTTACATCTCAAAGCTGCGTCAAATTATTTTATTCCCAAAATAAATTTACGTCAGCCTTTGTTGTTTACCCAATGTATCGTCTGCATCCAAGATCCCGTAATTGAGGTTTATTTCACAAGTTTAATTTAAAATGTATCCAACAAAAATTAACTCATTTGTTTATTTATTTCATGATCTGTAACAACAACAACATGAACAATATGTGTTTGTATTGTCTGTGTTCCACTATGATGATAAATACCTTCACTGTAACACGTTAAGCCCCACTCCAGTGTAAATCTCTCCACTTCACCCGTCTGTGAGTCTCTATTCTTCGGTCACTAACTCACACAATTTTTTTTTTCTGTAGAATTAGCCCACCCAGGCACAGGTCACAGGGGGGACATAAATTGAACCAAAAAGTAAATACAGATATAGAAGAAGAAATAAAGAGTGAGAAACGATCTGTATGTTGTGTTGTCAAAGTAAGAGAAACAATTGAGACCCAGCAATTGTGTGTAATGAGGCAGAAAGTCAGATCATCAACCTGGGACTTGGTCACATATGGCAGCAGGGGTCTACCAGTAGGCAACACATTATGCTTCCAATATCTTCCCAGGCGGTAGTACTGTTTGATAGCTGCCATTACCTACCTATACTAATCATTGAACCTTCTACTGTCGGAATACAAAGTAGAGATCATAACTACAACCACACCGTCAGCGATCACAACTACAACCACACCGTCAGCGATCACAACTACAACGTCGGCGATCACACCACAACCACACTGCGCATCACAACCACAACGTCAGCGATCATAACCTGCTGAAACCACACGTCAGCGATCACAACCACAACGTCAGCGATCACAACATAAACCACACCGTCAGCGATCACAACTACAACGTCAGCGATCACAACTACAACCACACCGTCAGCGATCACAACTACAACCACACCGTCAGCAATCACAACTACAACGTCAGCGATCACAGCCTACAACCCACACCGTCCCGGCGATCTGCTTCAGCGTCAGCAGTCACAACCACAACGTCAGCGATTCACCTTCTGCTTCCCGTCAGCGATCTGCTACAACGTCAGCGATCACAACTTCTGTACACCGTCGGCGATCACAACTACATCCCGTCGGCGGTCGCCACAACCACGCCATCAGCGATCTGCTTCACAACCACACGTCGCGATCACCTTCACAACGTCAGCGATCGCTACAGCCACACCGTCAGCGATCAAACTACAACGTCAGCGGTCACAACTACAACCACGTCGGCGATCCTGGCTACAACCACACCGTCAGCAATCAACTACAACGTCAGCGTTCACAACACAACCCACCGTCAGCGATCACAACACAACGTCAGCGATCCTGGCTTCTGACGTCTGTGATCACAACTTCGTACGTCAGCGATCACAACTACAACCACACCGTCAGCGATCACAACTACAACCACACCATCAGCGATCACAACTACAACCACACCGTCAGCGATCACAACTACAACCACACCATCAGCGATCACAACTACAACCACACCGTCAGCGATCACAACTACAACCACACCGTCATCCTGCTGGGGGACCATGTAGGACACCCAGTACAGCACCAGCGTCCCTCCCAAACATCAACATTTTCTCCGCTACACAGCAGTTCGTGGTGGTCGCTGGAGTATTGTGATCACGTGTGAGCATCACCATCCGAGAGTTACCACTGACTGAAGCAGCACCAATAATAATAATAATAATAATAATAATAATAATAATAATAATAATAATAATAATCTAATATACAATAGGAATAGCCGTGTGTGTGTGTGTGTGTGTGTGTTCTGGGCAGCCGAAACAGCACAATCGTTTTTCATCAAACTTGGTGGAAAAATCGCAAAAAATTCGTAGTGGAACAAACCTGGTCCCATGTCGATGGTTTCTTTAGGAAGGCATTAATTAACCTTTTTATTTACGCTGGAAAACGAGGCAAGTCTACGGACTTGGCGCACCCTCATTCGCTGTACGCTGTCAGCCCGACGGCGGTTGAGTGCTAGCCAAGCACGAGCGTTTCACCGGGCACGAATGGCCCGCGATCACTTGTAATAAAGATAATAATAATGGTTGCCCCTCGTGTTCGAGGATGACCGGCCCAAGGGCCACCTAGGCATGAATTTGTTTAAGGCGTAGAAGCTGTCGCCAATTTATTATTATTTTTTATTATTATTTATTGGTCACTCTCCTACATCCTTGTGTAAGGTGAAGCGCAGAAGTGTTTACAGCGCTCAACAGGGAAGCATGCTAAGTTCATGCTTGCCTTTATGTCTCATGAGTTAAGGGCGTAGAAGCCTGAAGAGTCAATGGTTATGTCTAAGCAAGTTATTGGAAGCTCCAACAACTTGTCCCTGAATACGAATTCGCAACACAACAACCACACCCTGAGTTAACGAGTTGCATGACCCAGTGTCAAGGAATAGTCCGAGAAGACCGGACAAATTGCCTACTGCACTGGCTAACCTTTGCCCTGGAACACGATCCGCAAATCAATTAACATCCAGGTCCCCAATTATTCCTGGGTAGACAGAGGCAAATGGCGTAAATAAAATAGCCCATTGTTTCACCCTGCCCGGGGATCGAACCCGGGCAATAACAACCATGACATCAGCCCACAGTTAAACATTATTTGCTTATATCTGATAATATGGATTTACAGTACTTGTTGTACACTTCCCACACACACTGCTCTTGTCCCCGGGGTTGTACCCATAAGTTTGTTGGCCTCAGGGGGGAAAAGTCTGCTTCTTAACTCAATAAAATTATCCTGTGTTCCAAGTTGTGTTTGGCCGCCTCTCTTCTGGTGAGTTGGCCGGCGGTCCTTTGGGTGTAATTAACAAACTAGAAAAATAAGATTTAGAAAGAAAACGAAGGCAGACGCACTGGGGTAAAAGATAATGAAGGTAGATGAAAGGACGAAGACAAAGAAGACGAAGTTAGATGAGAGTAAGACATCAAAGACGACGAAGGTGAACGACAGGATGAAACAGACGAGGCACAACAGCCCCAGGGACCCGCTGCTGACGACGAAGGTGAACGACAGGATGAAACAGACGAGGCACAACAGCCCCAGGGACCCGCTGCTGACTCGTACTTTATAATGCATGTCTACCTCTCTCACCTTATACTCCATAATAATAATAATAATAATAATAATAATAATAAAAATAATAATAATAATGGCAACAACAACAATAATAATGGCAACAACAATAATAATAATGGCAACAATAATAATAATAATAATAATAATAATAATAATAATAATGGCAACAACAATAATAATGGCAACAACAATAATAATAATGGCAACAACAATAATAATAATAATAATAATAATAATAATAATAATAATAATGGTGGTAATAATAATAATAAGTACAAAATCTTTAAACCAAAATAATAATAATAATAATCGGTAATAATATTATTCAGTAAGGTCACCGGGTCGTCATCAATAAGCGTTACTCGTGATAATCAGACAATTAATTGTATTCAATATTAATTTTATACCTTTGTGAACAGTGACTCACACCTGAGTTGACCTGTATCTAGTTCATGACACGGCCCATGACACACGACTCATGACCCATGACACCCACCACCAAGGTCATGACACGCGGCCCTTGACACCCACCACATGACACCTACCACCACATGACACACGACCCATGACACCCACCACCACATGACACAACCCATGAAGCACTCATACAACCAAATGAATACACGACCCACACCACCACACATGACAAGGCAGAGACCCAGAAACACTAACGCCACCACATTACATTGCACCCATACACTCCAGCACATGACACCCACCAGATATGACACACACGACCCATGACACTCACCACCACATGACAAACGACCCATGACACCTACCACCACGTGATAGCACACGACCCGATGCACACTTCCGGCATATGACACACGACCCATGACACTTACCACCATATGCCACACGACCCATGACACCCACTCACAAACTATCTAGACTATGACACATGACCCATGACACTCAGCACATGACACACGACCCATGACACCCACCTCACCAGATGACATAAAACCCATATACTCACCAATTGGATGAGACACACAAACCCAAGGACACCCAGTATCAGGCGACACACACGACCCCATGACACTCAGCACATGACACACGAATCTGGCACCCATGAACAGATGACATAAGACCATGACACCTACCACCACATGATGACGACCCTGTCATACCCAGCACTAAATGACACACAAGACCCATGACACTCACCACCACATGACACACGACCCATGACACCCACCACATGACACACGACCCATGACACTCAGCACATGGCACACGACCCATGACACCCACCACCATATGACACAAGATCCATGACACTCACCACCACATGATACACGACCCATGGCACCCACCACCACATGACACAAGACCCATGACACAAACCACATGACACGACCCATGACCTGCTTACACCGTTGTTGCTGTTGCTGTTATTATTATCGTTATTATTACTATTATTATTATCGTCATTATTATTATTTCGTAATCATTATTTTTATTTTTATTATTATTATTATTAGTAGTAGTAGTTACTATAATTATCGTCATTATTATTATCGTCATTATTATTATATCGTCATTATTATTATTATCGTCATTATTATTATTATCGTTATTATTATTATTATCAACAGTGAGTGAAGGTGTAACTTGTAAGGATATCGTCCCATTGACCTCAGAAATTCGTGTCAGTAGAAGCCTTAAAACCTCCGCTAGGATGACCAGTACAGACCACGAAGACTTGCTCCAGAAAACACAACACCAAATTAGCCAAATGGACACAAACTATAACCTACCAGTACCCATCACAGAACGACTGGCACTTATTCCCCGTGGCAGGTGAGTCATTCAGTAACTTAATGTACTGTACCTGCTGAAAACATCATTACTGTCCATATTAATCCTGGGTGATCAGTTGCAGAAGCTCGCGAGGCACTGATTGATGTTCTCGGGTGAGGATTGATTTTGTAACGGGAAACAATATAGTACACAGAATTTTAGTGAAGTATCAAACGTTCGCATAAAAAGTTTACAAACAGTGAGTAAGAACAGACATTTCAGTACAAAATTAGCAACGTTTGGGGCCAGGACATGACCTCCCTGCACCTCCGACTGTGTGACTTAACTGTTGCCCCCACACCACACCCCACACCACACCACCACACACCACACTCCTCTTACCAACATGTTCCCGAGAATCCCAACCAATGTTACCAACTCTCCTTTGTGATTTACGGTTCATGAGTGGGAAAGATATTGTTGTTGGAGGTAATGTTGTGTTGGTGTGGACAGCCTTCATACTTACTTTGTTTACAACGACCAGACCACACTGGGGATGTCACGAGGTGTCAGTGTGACTCATGTAGGTCACTTAAAGCTGAGAGAGAGAGAGAGAGAGAGAGAGAGAGAGAAGAGAGAGAGAGAGAGAGAGAGAGAGAGAGAGAGAGAGAGAGAGAGAGAAAGAGGAATGTTAAGAGAGAGGGAGAGAGAGAGAGAGAGAAAGAGTGTGAATGTTGGGGGAGAGAGAGAGAGAGAGAGAGAGGTGTGTGTCAGTGAACCAGAGAACTAACAGAGGCTGTAGTGTAAGACATTTCTCTCTTTTATGGCAAACTTCTCCCTAAAAGTATCTCACGCTTGAAGGAGGAACACCAACCACCACAACGACCACTACCACCACAAGCATACCACAATCACCACTACCACTACATCATAATCACCACCACAACATCACCACAACTACACCACCACCACTACACTATCACCACAACTACTCACCACCAGCCACTTTACCCCCTAAACCTTGCCACAACTGAGTTAACATGAGAAATAACCACGACTATTAAGCATATACACAGAACCCCACCCACTAATACCTGGAGGTTTACACGACACTTGTCTCACCCTGGAGGGACATCGACTATGGGCAGTGATGTTGATTAACGTATACAGTATACATAACATTGTTTATATTCATGCTGAACTGTAAACCTGTATAGTTTATAGATACATGTCTGTACAACCGTAAACCTATATGACAATTTTACTGATTATTATTATTATTATTATTATTATTATTATTATTATTATTATTGGCTTTTTTTTCATTATCAAACTATTACTATTATTACTATTGTATTATTATATTATACTACTTTCATTATTATTATTATCATTATTATTATCATTATTATCATCATTATTATTGTTACTCCCTAAAACATGAGACACACTGGCCTGACGTCACGTGTCTGGGAGAGAGAAGAAATAGTTTTATTTTCCATTGTTTTAACTGGATATTTATGGACAGGGAGCAGTTTTACGACGAGCGGCTGAGGTTATGGTTTAACTCTTGGGTCCTGAAGGGTTAAACCATCGTCGTTAAAGGGTTAAATCATCGTCGTTAAAGGGTTAAGTCATCGTCGTCAAAGGGTTAAACCATCGTCGTTAAAGGGTTAAACCATCGTCGTCAAAGGGTTAAACCATCGTCGTCAAAGGGTTAAACCATCGTCGTTAAAGGGTTAAATCATCGTCGTTAAAGGTTAAACCATCGTCGTCGTTAAAAGGTAGGGTTAA